AATATTGTTTAGTCTACATACACAATCACAAAAATGGATCAAAAAAATATATTAACGCGTTTTTTCGTGAAATGAAATTGCTGCAGAAAAAAGTGTCGCTCTGTCCCATCAACCGAGATATTAATCGAAGTTGACGACTATTCAAATTAGGAAATCTGTTACAGCCATGAAAAAAACCTTTCTCTGTTCTTGCTATGTGTGAAAAGTTGTAAACTTTTGCATATCCAATATATTTAACAATACACTTCATAATACAGATTATTACTAAAAAACATCGAATAAAAAATACATGTCACTTATCAAGTAAACTTTTCGATAACTATCGATTTTATATAAGATATTTTACATCGTCGTATACGACGATTCCGAAAATCATTCTTTTATTTCACAAAACAATATATTGCAATAATAAAGTTATGTTTCAATAAATCAACGTAAATTGGCTAAATTAAAAAAAAAAAAACGAATTTTCTATTCTTATTCTTTAAATTTGAATCAGTAGATAATCACTAATATCAATGCCAAGTATGCCACTGGTAATCAATGAATTAAATGTGAGATCCTTAACCTAGCTAATTTTTATTATGTGATCTAACCTTGTTTTAGTGCTTAAATTCAATGAATATGGTATTGGGAAATTGAAATTAACGTGATTGAAATATCAGTGTTTTAGTTATATAATGCTCAAACATTCTTCCTTTTTTAGTTGAACTTCATTGATTATCAGTGCAAAGTATGCCATTGAGTAATTAATGACTATCTACTGATTCAGATTTAGAGAGTATCTAAGGTATCATGCAGCTTAAATGTCGAAGGATTGGGAAATACAAAAGATAATGGACTTACTCAATGTCGCATTGTTGACACGCGACTGATCCGTCTGCGATCTGAGTAATCGCAGTCGATTCAGCTTACTTTGTTGCTGGTCCAGCTTGTGCCTCAATCTAGCGAGTCTGTCCTGCTGTGCTGGCTCCTGAAACGGTAAACAGTGCGTGAACGCGATCACTATAGATAGTGAATATACAGTTAACACAATAAATGGATTAAGATAGGAAGGAAATACAATCTGTAGTGAATTTGATTATTTGCATATTGAAAAAAATTACTAACTTTTAATAAATATATGATCGAATGTAGTACTTAATATTTACTAAATGTAAACTAATATGTATTTGGTACAAGGATCATTATAATTTGATTAAAATATTTTTTATTAAGTAAATATATTTGGTACAAGGACCATTATAATTTAATTAAAGTATTTTTTATTGAATAAATATTTGTAAGTAAATGTTTTATTAATACTATTCAAACAAATATACCTATATTAAAGTGTTGGTAAAAAAAAATTTTTTCAGTATAGATTAGCGCATAATAAAGATTGTTATACATAATATTAGCAAAAAGTTAAATATAAATATTTTAAACGAGATTAAATATCCAACAGTATTATCGTTATTCAGTAGAATGTACAGCAGAGGAATATACGTTATTCAAGAGAATATATATTTTGTATTGTTTCACTGTCAAAGTTGATTATATTATGCCATTGATTTCAGATACTTTATATATAAAGCAGCCTTTAATGTGTACTAATCCAGTGCAGTGCGATTAATGAAATTCACCGTTAGTAACATTATCGCGAAAGCAAATCCACATTTGCACAATTATCTATTACAAAAGCTTAATTTCAACGAAGTATCTATTGGTTTTCTGTATACTGATTAGAGGATGAGTTTAGAGGTTCGAAATAAGAAAAAAACGCTTCTTCATAATTTCTCATTCGCGAGTTTAATTCGCTATTACCAACTTCGATGGAATCGCGAAACAAGATTACGCGATCTCAGAGAATAGGTCCACCGGGGACCCATTCCCTCTTCGAGACTGCTCTTCGAGATCAAGGCTGCTCAGTCGTGAAGGTCATTGTAACGGTAACTGCACAAGCATATTATCGATCTTCCTCACCGTGATCTTTGAAGAAAAGAGAACGCGTGACAAATGCTCGAATCATTAAGGGTTGCATGCATTACGTACGTATATAGTGTCATTGAACTGCGTAGAAGTTAGTGGTACATAGAAAAACATAAGCACTAAGTGAATTAAATAATTTTCTCGAATCACAATTAAGAACGTAAATAGGGTGTGAGGAGTCAACCACTACTAAAAAAATGTACAGTGATTGCTAATTATGGCAACACACTTTATTGCTAGCATTACTATTGTATTGCATTACTATTGTATCAGTATTGTTTTCCAAGTATTGTTAACGTACTGCTATGTACTACTATGTATTGCTAGTGTATTGCTATACTACTGCTACTGTTAGCATTGCCTGTTTTATTACTGTACTGCCGCAATAAATTTCTCAAGAAATGTACACTGATTGCCATGGTGGTTGATCCCTCGGTAAGGTGTTTAATGAAATTTTATAAAAAATTTTCTAAAAATTCTCGGACTTTTGAGGTATTTTTGTTCAAAATTCCAGATAAGATTAGAGTAATTTTTAATGCAACTTTGAAATAAATTAAAGTGTAAACAACGCAAACATTGTATTGAAAATTATTAGAAGATATAGAAATCCACGAGACTATATCTATTATCCTCTATATTTGGAACCACAAATTGAATCTATAATAAAAAAAAAGTATAGAGAATAACAATATAGTATCAGTGAGTTATTCTATATTGCTGAATATTGTCTTCTACCGTCATCCTAATTTTTTGAATGAAAACTCGCGAGACACATGAGAATTATGTACATGAATATACGCAGATGTACACATAACATTCTTATTGCTAACTGATCGTCAATATTTTACATTATCAAGAAGAAAAAATGATCAAAGACACAATATTTTCCAAAAGAGAGATTAAAAAAGGCAAAATTTAAAATTTCAAAAATTTCCCTGAGTGTCTCAATAAAATTCCACAAAAATTTTTTAAAACTTTTTCAAGAATAAAAGAAAAATCCCTGGAAAATTCCAGGTTTTTTTCTAGTATAAGCACTCTAGATAAAGCAACAACATAAGCAATAGTGTACAAAATATAAAAAAACGTTAATTTATTTATTGCTTGCGTCTTTCTACGTATCACTAATTTCATTTTTCGATTTGAAGTTGGTATTCTTTCAATGACAACTTTCATCAATTGTACGGTAAAAACTATGAAGTATGATTCCAAGTAGTACTTTATCTTAGTCAACGAAAATGATGGAAGAGAGTGCGACTCACCTGTGCGCCTCGAAGCACGGCTAAGCGGGCCTCTTTCTGCTCCAGGAGGCGCCTTTGCTGAGCGATTTCCCGCTGTTGCCTGGCCGCCATGCTCTCAAGCTCGCTGAGCACCAGCACAGCACCACCCCCGCCCACTGCTAACTGAAACAGCAAGATTAAATGCATGTAAGCATACGAATGTATGTGCCAAGGTAAAACAACGGTAACGAGGAACGCGTAAATAGGTACGAACGGGCGACAGAAGGCGACAGAATTGGCGATTAATTACATCTCGAATATCGGCTTTCGATCAACGGGCCTTCGTTGTTTCTTGACCTTCCGCGAATGCTTCCGCGGAGCGCACAACGCGTAAAACAATTACGTGTCGTTATTTGCTCAGAAGATAAATTCTTTGGAGATATTTTTTTTTTAATATACCGAAAAATTTTCATCTTGAATCGGAAACTTAAG